TAGAGAAAAGCTACTTCGTATGAAAAAACGCAGCAGAAGTGGAGAAAAAATCTTCATGACTGACACTACTGAATGTTTCCAGCTGGTTGCCGCTTGTGTAAGGCTACACATAATGGTACGAACCCCATCGACAATATATTCATGAGGGCATACATCCACCTTTGCACACCATCCATCCAATGATCAAACACATAGATAAATCATTCCATTCAGCTTTGATAGCTCACTAACCCGACACCCCACGCACTCATCCCTACCTTTTAAATGGGAAGAAAGAAAGAACTTCGATTATTATTATTTCCTTTAATTCCTAGAGGAACATAGGGCTTCAGTCGCGCGTCTCCACTGCGTTCGGTTCTCTCCTAGAGTTTTCACCTGGCTACAAGTCTGCCCACATGCTTTCATCTCCTCATCACATAACCTATTCCAAGTCACCCTCATACTGACGACCAACTCGCCGCTTCCCTTTCGGGTTCCACTCGACCTACGGCTTGTCTAGTGATGTCACTCGCTTGATGGTTTCCTCAGTGTATGGCCAGCCAATCTATCTCCATTTCTTCCTGCTTATTTGTTGCACAATCGGTTTCTGGTTGGCTTGCTCCCAGATGTCCCTGTTGCTGATCTTTCCTAGCCGGCCATCTGATCTTGAGTAGTTTTGAGCGAAGGCAGCTTTTGATAAAGGTCTGTAGTTTGTTTGATGTGCTCTTTATGACGCGGTGGCCAAGTCTCTGGCTCGTATGGTAAGTAGCACTGACTTCACATTGGAGTTGAAAATCCGGATGTTACTTTTGATGCTGAGTGATGTTGACCTCCTTCACACAAACTTGAGAGTAATGAAAACTTGTCTTGCTTTCCTGATCCTTGCTTTGATATCCTCATCAGTTCCGTCCACCTGTTGTTGAAACGATGCTTCCAGGTAGATAGGTAAAGCAGGTTGTAACTTTCAGGTTCCTTCCATTTATGCTCGCTGATTGTTGTCTGTTGTTGCTGGCCAGGAATCTTCATCACCTATGTTTTCTCTATGTTCACTTGAAGTCTTATTTCCTCTGGATGCTTCTTCTATCTCCAACTTGTTGCTTTTCACTCGTATATCTTCCAGTTTGTGAGAAATCAGACATATATCACATTGGCGAAGTCCAGATCCTCCAAGTGTTTTTTTGTGTGAGTCCATTTATGTCTGTTTCCTCGCTTCCCTCTGTCTGTCACATTATCCAATCTACCGTAATCAGTAAAATCATTAGCGACAGTAGGCAGCCAGCCAGCCTTGTCTTACTCCCGTCTTTACTTCGAAGAATTCCGTAAGTTTCCCGTTGTGGATTACTGGGCATGCAGCATTGTCGTACAACCCCATCGACAATATATTCATGAGGGCATACATCCGCCTTTGCACACCATCCATCCAATGATCAAACACATAAATAATCATTCCATTCAGCTTTGCGAGCTTATTAACCCCACCCCACCTTTTAAATGAGAAGAAAGAAAGAACTTTGATATCATTATATTATTATATCATTATCATTATCGTTATTATTATTATTATCATTATTATTAATATTATAATTATTGTCATTATTCCTTATTTTGAGTATCACTGTCTTGTCTCGAAGGCAGACAATATACACATGTATATATATATATATATATATATATATATATATATATATATCAGCATTGAAACACCAAGGAAACAGAACCAAAACAACGGAAAAGTGGTAATCAGATAGAAGAATGTTTGTGTGTGTGTGTGTGTGCAAGGGAGAGAGGGAGAGACAGATGGAGAGGACAAAATAACTTGAAAAGAAAACACGAAAACATTGCCTTCAATGAAGTAATCACTTTTGGCAACTAGGGGTGATTCAGGGGGGGCAATGAAAAGCCGCACACCCAACCACCCACCTAGCTCCCACACACACACACACGCAATCGCACATAAAGTGTGAATGAGTTCAAAAGTCAATCTGATGATCTGCAAGATGAAGATTAAACAATCTTCCACTCCATACACACACACGCAAATGCCCAGAGGGGGGAATACAGAGAAACAAACACCTACACACAAATTAGAGTAAAATGCATCAATTTTTCCCCCGAAAATTAAGCGAGAAAAACAAACAAAACACAGTCTAGACAGATTACAACAAAAGTATGACTTTTATCTCAGTAAAACAAGACAAAGAAAAATACACAATAATATTATAAGCAATTATAATAATAATAGTGATTGTAAAAAGAGCCAATGGAAATAGTCAGTTAGTTAGTTAATTAAAACAAGAAAAGATTCAATGTTCACTTTCCCTCCACACAGACAGACACACACACAGCAAAGCATGATATGGAGAATATTATTACAAAACAAAATGTTGGAGATGATGATAAGCGACCAGTGTGTATTATTATTATTACTATTATCATTATAGTGTGTTTAATAGAAGCCTATCACCACCACCTACCTACTAATAGCTATTGGAATACAATCGATATTATTATGATTATTATTGTTAGTATTATGTAGGCGCGTACGCAACAATGCAATGTATATATGTATAATACACACCGCATACAAACACTTAAAGGGAAGCAAAACAAAAGTTATTCGAATTAATATATGTATATATGTATGCCCATGTATGCTTGCATGTGTATGTGTGCATGAGAGCAACGATGCGACTGTCCCCAAAAACACAGGACAGCTCCTCGTCGTCGTCGGTGGCGTCCTGCTTCTTTCATAAAGCAAGCGTATAAAAAAATCATAGATAAGGTTAAAGAAAGACTAGAATAGAAGCAAATAAATTAGAGACAACGACGCCAATTAAAAAAACAAACAAAAAATCAAGACATCCTAACACACATACACACACATCAAAAACTGACAACATGAAGAAAGGAGAGAGAGATAGAGAGAAGCAATTCGTATATATATATGTATATATATATGAGCAGGTATGCTGTATGTATGTATGTGTGCATATTTAAGTGAGCGTAGGCGGAGTTCATTAAATTCATTAAATCAATTTTTTTTTAATATAATGTCTGACCGACCAATCGAACGATCGATACGCATAAATCGATAGAGTCATTTTTAAATTACTGCATATGTTGTGTGTATACGGAAGCGAATTTATTAAAAGACGCTCACTCAAATATTGTTTTGACATGATTTTTTTCAAATAAAAAGGCTTATTTTTTATGTTCTCGTCTTCATAGACTGACTGACTGATTGACTCAGTTCATGGGGTAGAGTATAAGATAATATTTGCATTAAAACGATACAATGTAATTATGGCGGCGGCGTTGAGGAAATTGAAAGGAAAAGAAAACAACAACTCGTAAGCATGCGGACCTACTAAATAGTGATAGTCATTATATAATTATGCCAAAAAAATCCCAGAAGACACGGACGCAAGCGCATTCACTCACTGGCTCACTCACTCACTCAGACTGACTACTACACGTAGGAGAAGTAAGAGTGGAAATAGTAATAGGCAATCAAACTTAAAAAAAAAATCAAATTGACAATAGAATCAATCAATGCCTAATTGTATCTGTAAGAGCAGTGATAGTAGTTCGTCATTTCTCCAATCAATAACCAGGAGAAGGAGGGAAAACACAAACACACAAATAAACAGACAACAAAATGTGTAAGAGAAAAATGCTTATACACTTCTTCTTTTTCGATTTTCTTCAAATATTGTCAATAAAACCAATAATTAATCAATTCATTAAGTCACTAATTAATTAATTAATCAGGTAAGTTAAAAACCAAGTATAGACAAAAGAACAAGAAATAAAAAAATGGACAGTCTTTGGCATGACTAAAAAATTTTCACATAATTTGTCACATAAAGCACATACAGAGAACATAAGAATAAAAGGAAAGCTTAACACACGCACACATTTAAGTTATACTACTTGTGAGTAGCAGGCAAAGAAGAGAGAGCGACAGAGAAGTGAAGTAGTAATGCATATATTTGTCATTTGTGTTTTTCCTTCTTGTTTTTTTTGTGCAACTTAAATATGAAAAATGGTATCGATTGACTATTGATTGATTGATTGATATGACTGATTCATCAGAATTTGAAAGATTACGTACAAAAAAACGAAAACAAAGACACAGGGAGAAGACAAGGAGAAAGAATGAAAAACAAGAGAAAAAAGCAACAGAATGTCATGTGAATAATTCCATAGAATTTATTGATTTCGTCATGTAAATTAACTTGATCACTGTAAGTGAAATCATTCGCCAGTATTAGTAGTAGTAGTGCGGTGATATACAATTCCTCCAAATTAGGCTAACGATTAATAGTCAGTCAGTAATCATAAGCAAATGCACACATAGATAGACAGACAGACATGCGAGCACGTAGACACGCACACACACTGACAAGTGTATACTATTATTATTATATATATATATATAATTACTAGCACAAGAAACACCGAATTACCCATCAGTCATGTTGACCTTTTGATTATTATATATCAATACGTATAAGAAATGGAGAAACGCCAAAAAAACAAAAAACGAACGTGCGCGTCCACGCCATCCACGCACCACACACACACACACACACTGAGAAGAATGAGAAAGGCAATTAACAAGAGATGATGCAAATTTTGTAGTGTATGGATGATTTTTCTCGAAGAAACAAGTGCGTCCATGCGCGTGTGTTTGCGTGTCTGTGTGTGAAAGTGAACATACATGTGAGTACACATATGCATGTTTGATAAAGCAGCAATGATGAAAATATAAAGACATATTTATGCATTTCATTGTACGTTTCTTTGTTGAGATCCCAAATATGACGATGATGTGTTCACACAATCATATTGAAAATTATTGATGGATGATGGATGTAACATCATTTTCGACAAGACATAGGACAAACGCATACATGGACATAGAAAGAGAAAGCATAAAACTAGCAGTATTAATAATAATAATCATAATAGTAACTAACAAAGAGATGTAAAACACGGAAAGAGAAAAAAAGAGTAAATCAATATAAACCACATCCTTTCAAATTATTCGCTATAATCACATCTGTAACAGCATCGAAGACGAATTGAATATTATTTGTATCAGTGGCACAGGTTTGATGACAGTAGATCTCTTTATTCGGTGATCGATTTTTAGCCTCAAATGATGCTTGAATATAAATGGCTGCCTCTTCATACGTCTGTTTACCTATAATAGTCCGTAAAGAAAGCATAGAATTATTTAAAGTAGTCACAAAAAGCGCACTAATAGTTAACGATATGTACATTTTTGAACTGAAAAGTTTGACTACTAGGTATTCATGTAAGTAGTAAAAGTAAATTAAAGAAATATTTCCAACTCGTCTGGCATCTACCAACTTGTGTCTCATCGCTGATGTGGACGCGACAGTTCACTCTTTTCATCTTTGTGGCTGGCAGAAATGGCCATTGAAAGAGGAGGCTTTAACCACAGATGTTTACCTTCCACCTTTCGTCTTCATTGGTATAATATTATGAGTGATATTGGCGAGGTTAAAGGTCAGAAGGAAAAGCCAAACGATGCGGTTGTAAATCTGCACCGATTGAGTTGTCTAAAACAGGTCATATATATGTGAAGCTATCACCTTCCTCAAGCAGCACTACTTTTAACTAACATAAGATTAGATTGGAAAGGACGACGGGATGGTCGCACCAGAATCTGAGATCAATCAATCCACGAAGTCTTTGAGCCAGCCATGTAGAGAAGTGTAGAATATCTGTTTGATTGGAATCCTCGAGAAAGCGAGCAACCGATAGCATGGAACAGATAGTCTAATGGCTCAATGGTACATATGTATTTATCATTTACGACCAAATAAATCAATTAAATTCTCATTATTCTGTATGCAATTCTTCCGAGAAAATACATCGCACTGATCAAGGCACTCTACTCAAACTCATGCAGCCAGCAGGTGAGAGCTTACAAAGTAGTGACAACTAGTGGTGTCCGTCAAGTATGCACACTATCCGCATTTATATTCAATTTCGTCATAGATGTACTAATGGATTTAACCCTAATTCACTTCATAGACTCAGGGATTGACTTGTTACCAGGAAATAATCTTGCTGACTTAAAATATGCAGATAATATAATCCTTCTAGGTGAGGTAATGACTTTGGAAAAATGCAGAGTTTTCTGAACAGCTTGTACTGTGTAGCAATCTTCGAATGTCTCGCATACGATTCGATCTCGTAAAATGTAGGATGATGCTACAGGAGTGGACTGGACTTTATCGATTCCTAGCCTGCGTCGGTGGCACAGTGGTTAGGACTCTCGCTAACCATGCACATGGTCCGGAGTTCGAGTCCACGCCGACGCACACCTGATATCTATGGTCGGCCTGCGAAGTTTGGGCTATCGATATCCATGCTTAAAATTCCATACTTGTACCAAAAATACAGTATGGAATCAAGCTGTAATCAAAAAATAAAAAAAGTGAATTGCTGGAGCGTGTTGACCACTTGACTTATTCGGGAAGTTGCATCAGCCGGTGCCAACGGGTTAATCGCTGAAGAAATCTCAGAACGAATACAGAGGGCTAGTTTCGCATATGCCAGTTCAGGCCGTCTCTGGCGTATATGTGATATCCGGCTGGCTATCGACCAAAGGGCGAGTGTACTGCTCATCAGTGCCCTCCATCCTCCTTTATGGCTGGCTTTGAGACCTGGCCATTGACAGTGGAAGACATGAAAAGCCTGGCTAGCTGTCTTTGATCATAGGTGCCTGCGCTCTATCTCCCGTATGAGGTGGTATAATAAGGTGACCAATATTGAAGTTAGACATTGGTCGAGTGCTAGGTGAGCTGGAGTGGAAATCAGCCGACGAGGTTGTGAAGTTACATCGGCTGAGATGGTTAGGATATGTGTTACGTATGTCTAGTCATCACTTTCCTCGACGGGCAATACTAGCTGACATAGGGTCAGGCTGGAACAGAGCTAGCGGCAGTCAAACCAAAACATGGCTTCATCAGTCAATGAAATCTACAACAGTTAGTTTAAGCCAGCCACGTAGGAAGGTGTGGACTGGCCTCCTGGTTGGGGTCTTAGGGACGATAAAAACCAACGACAGTGGTTGAAGACAATTGGTGATATGGCTCAAAATTGTTCTCAATGGCTGGGGAAGATGCATCCACTCCTTGTGACTTATGATTTCCAATGAAACTGTTTTGTTCTTCGTTATTACTCTTCCTTTGTCTCACACCTCTGTTTACTGTCACTACTATGCATTTCTTCTACTTTCTTCTCTTTCTTTGTGTGTTGCATGGAGGGAGTTTAGCGACTTGAACTGCTGCACATCGGTGCAAAGTTCTATGTCGAAAACAGACAGACAGACGCAATTCTTCCATCTCCCGTACATCCTCTTTCAATATTCAAACATTAGGTGAGTAGAGCAAAATGACATATATGCATTACAACTACAAGATTTTAACAAGGCATAAAGAAGACAAATTTCGCGAGATGATATCATTTCGTAGTTTCTTTACAACCGCTTTACAATGGTCGTCGACTATTTCTTGATTACAACGTAAGCTAAAAAAAGATTTGAGGAATAGACACTTCTACTTCTGTAGCCCTTGACTTAAAATGTTGTTTCCAACTTTGGCTACTTCTCCTATCAATCTGCATTTATTATTACTTCACTTAGTTCCTAGAGGAACATAGGACTTCAGCCGGGCGTCTCCATTGCCTTCGGTTTTCTGCCAACTTTTTCACCCCGCTCCAAGTCTGCCCACCCCACATACTTTCATCTCCTCTTCACATCACCTCCTCCAAGTCACCCTTGCACTGACGACCAACTCGCCGCTTCCTTTCGGGTTCCACTCGAGGGTCTGTCTAGTGATGTCACTTGATGGTTTCCTCAGAGTATGGTCAATCCACCTTTTTTATTCCCGCCTATTTGTTGTACAATCGGTTCCTGGTTGGTCCGCTCCCAGAGATCCCTATTGCCGATCGTTTTTTGCCATTTGATCTTGAGTATTGAGCGAAGACTGCTATTAATGAAGGTCTGTAGTTTGTTTGAAGCGCTACTTACGACGTGCCAAGTCTCTGATCAGTATAGTAGCAGTGACTTCACATTTAGGTTGAAAATCCAGATCTTATTTTCATTTTGACGCTGAGTGATGCTGACCTCCTCCACACAGACTTGAGAGTAATGGAAGCTTGTCTTATCTTCCCGATCCTCAATTTGATATCCTGATCAGTTCCTCCGCCTGTAGTTGAAACAATGCTTCACAGATAGGTAGGTAGGTGAATGAGGTTGTTTTTTTCAGATTCATCCCATTTATGCTGATTGTTGTCTGTGGTTGTTACCGTTTCTGTTGGTGTTGCCCATGAATCTTCATCATCATCTTTGTTTTCTCTATGTTCACTTGAAGTCCTATCTTCTCTGGATGCTTCTTCTATCTCCAACTTGTTGCTTTTCACTCGCATATCTTCCAGTTTGTGAGAAATCAGACATTTACGTCACATCGGCGAAGTCCAAATCCTCCAAGTTTTTTTGTGTGAGTCCATTTTATGTCTGTTTCCTCGCTGCCCTCTGTCTGTCACATTATCCAATCTACCGTAATCAGTAAAATCATTAGCGATAGTAGGCAGCCAGCCAGCCAGCCTTGTCTTACTCCCGTCTTTACTTCTAAGAATTCCGTAAGTTTCCCGTTGTGGATTACTTGGCATGCAGGATTGTCGTACAACTGTTAGATGAGATGTATAATTGTCGATGGAACCCCTTGGTAGTAGCGAAGCAGTCGCCAAATCACCTGTCTATCGACGCTGTCTGCTGAAGACCTTTTCAAAGTCGATGAAGTTGAAGCTAGGTAGAGAGGTGACTGACTGCTATTCCAAGCTTTGTTCAATGATGATCCATAGTGTGGCGATTTCATCAATACATGACTTGTTTCTCCTAAATCCAGCTTGTTCCGATCTATGTTATATATATATTACTACTATATATACCTCTACTGCTGAATCTTGTCAGTAGTATACGATACAAACTGCAAATGATTACAGAGGAAAAAAAAACTGTTCTTGAGGTCTTGTATTCCACTCGAATCGTGAGGAAAGTTCAACTCAGTAAAAGCAAGAAAAAAAGATACTTTTCTTTTTCCAGTATAATAATATTGATTAAATACTACTACTACTACTACTACTACTACTACTACTACTAATAATAATAATAATAATAATAATCTATCTATCTTCCTCTTATAACTCACCTGGATATTCTGGGAAACAGATAGTCAACGGTGAACGTTTAATTTTCTCTTCAAATAAATCCTTCTTGTTTAAAAACAGTATGATACTTGTATCAGTGAACCATTTATTGTTACAAATTGAATCGAACAATTTTAGAGATTCTTGCATACGATTCTACAGGAGACGAGGGGGCAAGAGCGAGAGAGAGAGAAAGAAACCAAAAGATGTAAAAATTTATCAAACCACAACTGAAATACGCGTGACATAGTTGCATAAATAAACAGTGTGTGCATACGCACAAAAGACACATACTCTAACAAATATAAAAAACTTCAACAGAGAAAGAAAGAAAGACCAGATTTGCAGTATAAGACGATATCACCATTCTATTTCACAGGTTCCCCTCATCAACTGCAGACCACTAACTGGAAGAATTATAATAGTTATATCAAAATGACAATAACATATAAGTATAAAACTTGGGCACTGTGATAGAATATAACTCCATTGTGGATAAGATTTTATTTTGATAAACTGTCACACATTGTAGTGTTGTACAGTAATATTAACTGATGCGACCACGTTTTGAGCACAAACTATTGCCACTCATAATCATATCAAGGCACTACTCACACAACATTTTCCCTTCATTTATATACATGAGTGGAATTGATAAGCTATTGGAATAAAAATCAATATGAGATAATGTACATTCAGAAATAATAATATGAGTGTTAATGATCAATTACAATTAGATTGGGGAATAAGACGAGTGCTTTTATAGTCATAATAAGTTACTTGTTAGAATGTTGTGATGTACTTGAATTGAAATAGAAATAGCTAAGGTAAGAATGGTTGACCCCGAGAAGATTTAGAAAAGCATACCAGTAGCACTGCATGCATTAACACACAATCATCACACATTAGGGTGGGAGAGGGTTAAGATTTTAAAAAGTAATCTATGTAGGTGGAGAGAGAGATTGATTACTGAATGCTGCCTGGTTCATTGAGTCTACACTCCAACAAAACACATGCAACAGAAATGACTCAATGTAAATACCAGAGATATGGAAGATATTATTACCACCAGTCAGTCAAATCAGAAGAGGATAATAAATAATCTCAAAATTCTATTTCATTTCACATATATTCTAACAAGTAACTTATTATGACTATAAAAGCACTCGTCTTATTCCCCAATCTAATTGTAATTGATCATTAACACTCATATTATTATTATTATTATCATTTTTGAATGTACATTACCTCATATTGAATTTTATTCCAATAGCTTATCAATTCCACTCATGTATATAAATGAAGGGAAAAAGTTGTGTGAGTAGTGACTTGATATGATTATGAGTGGCAATAGTTTGTGCTCGAAACGTGGTCATCAGTTAATATTACTGTATAACAACACTGTGTGACAGTTTATCAAAATAAAATCTTATCCACAATGGAGTTATATTCTATCACAGTGCCCAAGTTTTATACTTATATGTTATTGTCATTTTGATATAACTATTATAATTCTTCCAGTTAGTGGTTTGCAGTTGATGAGGGGAACCTGTGAAATAGAATGGTGATATCGTCTTATACTGCATATCTGGTCTTTCTTTCTGCATTGCAACTTACCAAGGGAACTAAGTGTATGAAATATATAAAGAGTCGTTGCATATATTAAGAATCAGGTGATCAACCTGTGTTATTCGTGGGTGAGATACACACATCACGATTAATTCAATTTCTTACGAGTTCAGTCTCCAAATACCAAATATCATCTTGTTGTCTGTCAGTTGCCTGGTTATTTCTTCTCAATAATTTAAAAACAATTAGTTTTCTTTATGAATTTCGACAACACAATGAGAGAAGACGTAGTTTATCTGAAACGTGTAATGTATTGGTGCAACACATTTTGGACATTCTGATCACACACACGTGTACCTGTCATACATAGTTTTAGTTATATAGAAGGCAAGAAAGCATGAATTATAACAATTCAGGTCAGATTGTGCACAGGTCAAGATCAGAAATAATAATGGGTAGGGAGGGAGATGACGTAAAGGCGTGGGTAAGAAAGGATTGAAAATATTATGAAGTAAATTGAACCTCTGTTATAATGAATATCATATACCCAATGCCCAAATTTTTTAAATTGAACCTTGGTTCTAAGTTGGATTACCAAGGCAGGTTTAAGGTGATAACAAATAACTTTTGGACACGTTAGGCAGGTTTAAGTCTTTTTATGGCTAAGGCTTCAACAAATTTAAGTATGTGACCCAACCTTGATTTATATATGGGCTTAAAGGTATTGTTGAAATCAACCTTATGACCCGTCTCTATAATGTGCTTCGCTATAGATGATGTTGGACATCTGTTTCCAAAATCAATTGTATCCAGCGGTTTTATTTGTTGTTGCAGCCACTTTGGAATATGTTCTGTAGCCCTCATCTGAAGAGACCTATGGGTCTTTCCTATGTACATGTGTCCACACACACACACACGCATACTATCGTTCGGATACTGTGAGGGTTTACAGGACAGCATAGTTGTCGTTTTCTCTATGAAGATAAATCTAGCTGCATAGTAAATTTGTGGCCTTGGATCTCTGTTTAGTGACCAGACTTTGTTGATCCCCCCCCCCTGTACGTCAAGGATATATTCAAAAACATCCTTTTTGAGAGCTAATTGGATTGGTAGAGCTCTTTGACTGACACTTCCGTAACGCCCAATAAATCTCAGCGGGTAATTGTTATCCAGTGCGTCGGTGGCATAGCGGTTAGGACGCTTGCCGACCATGCACATGGTCCGGAGCTTGATCCCCGGCCAACGCACTCACTCTTTTACCTCGCTAAGCCAGAAATAACTCTGGTAAAGAGGAAAGGTTGGGTATGAGGCTGGCAACCCCATTCTGTAAAAATAAACACTGCTACAGAGACTTCAAGCCACTAGCTTGAGACCCTATGTTCCACTGGGAACGTGAAGGGAAAAAAGATTGTTATCCAACAATATTTCAGTGAGCTGTTGTCTTTCTTCTTCAATTGTGTCGGCAGTACATACCTGGTGAATGCGTTTGAACAAACACTTAACCAACGCTTTTTTATACTGCAGTGGACAGAAACTATGATAATTTAGATAGTGTCCTGTCCGCATGGTATTTCCATAGACTTGTACACAATCTGACCTGTATTGTAATAATTCATGCTTTCTCGCCTACTATATAACTAACTGTGTATGACAAGTACCCGGGGGTGTGATCAGAATTTCCGAAATGTGTTTGTTGCGCAAATACACATTACATAACACGTTTCACATAAACTACAACCCCTGTCTGCTACAAAAAAATCGACACATGTTGTTAGATGGTTGGAGACAGAAAAGCTTAATGTTAAACACGTCTCCGCGATTGCAGTGATACTGGTTGATGTGGGGTTTCCAGTTTCTCAAAGGATACCAGTTCTTTCGATGATGCAGACATGTCTTGCTGACTAATGACGACAAGCATGAAACGTAGGGCAAGCAGGGTCGACTTCCTCCAACCATCTATCTAATAGCATTTCGATGCGGTTGATCATCTGGCTTGGTAGTCAGACAGTCAGACTAGCCGAGCATAAAAACCTAGCAAAATCTAGATTGGTTGACCCAAATAAGGTAAGAAATCTAGAGAATAGTTCAGCTATAGCACTCACCACATGCAGTTACACACAACCATATAATAGGATGGGATAGGATGACAGTTTTAAAATCTAATGCCTTAGGGTGGAGGGAGAGATCGATAACAGACGCTTTGTTTATCGAATCAACTGCAAATACATGTAATAGGAATGATTCGACACCTGTCCACACATATGTCTGGAAAATACTACTAGCCCTACGACGACAAATAAGAGAGGACAAATAAAACTATAAAACTTAATTTTCGGAGTTGTGTGATCATAATTGATATGATTAAGAACAATAAATTTTGTTCGAAATGTCATCCAGTAAATAATAATACTGTTTCACTGTGTGATACATCTGATAAACAAACTAACATGGAATTACTTACTATCACTGTGTCCAAGTTTTAAACATATAATAATACAAAGTTTCTTATCAATATTTGTATACAATTGTTATCAATTAGAGAACCATTGAAAATCGATACCAGAGTAATGGACAGCTGTTTCATCAGCCTAGTTTGGGAATCATCGGTAGTACGCACCCACCCCACTGCCAGGGTTTGAACCCAGGACCTTCCAGTTACAAAACAAACTACTTCGCATACCATTCAGCCACTCTGATCCGATTCAATGGCCAACCCATGAATTCTAACTTTCACCAATTCGTGGTTTTAGGGGAGGGGGACCACGAACCAATGTCATAGACGGGAACTCCACCCTCACTTTCAACTGGATGAACCCCACTGGTCACGACTTCTCTCACTAGAACTCCAGGAAACTGCGTTGTTGTAACTGGAGGGTCCTGGGTCCGAACGCAGGCAGTGGGCTGGGTGCGTACTACCGATGACTCCCAAACTAGGCTGATGAAACAGCTATTCAGTACTCCTGTGCTGGTTTCCAACAATTCTCTAAGTGATAATCAATCCGTGATCAATCCGCAAAAACAAATATAATCCTTACAAACCAACTAGTGAAAATTTGCATAGTACGTCAAAGATACGAGACTGGTTGGTAGTCAGTGTCTTTTCACGCCGATCACATAAATAGTCGACGAATTCATAAATTGAATATATGTGTCTTAATCTAACCCCGTCAGAGGCGCCTTTATAACAAGACTGGAAATGCGTCGGTGACACAGTGGTTAGGACTCTCGCCGACCATGCACATGGTACGAGGTTCGATCCCCTGCCAACTCACACCTGATATCTATGCCCGGCCTGCAAAATTTGGGCTACCGATATCCATGCTGAAAATTCCATACTTGTACCAAAAATACAGTGTGGAATCAAGCTGTAAATCAAAAAAAAATTATTCTGGTATGTCGACTTCGACAGTGGCTCTATATGTCCAAGAAACGAAGCCTAGATAAGTATTTCAGAGCTTGTCCAATACGCAACAACTACTGTTATTAGTTATTATTTCGTTTTTTTTGATATTCCCCCAGAGGGACACATACGGCTTCAGGCTTTCCTAAAGTCTACTATTGGTCGTATGGAGTAACCTGGCTTATGTATTTTAATAGTACCATATATTCTACTAGCTTTATTAGTTTTTGGCATTAAATTAAACCATTTAGACTCACCCAGTGACGGTTTCATTCTGCGTATTAATTCTGCTTTAGATTTCTTAACCTTATTCATTATTGTATCTACAGGCTTCTTAATTTCCTCATATTGACCCGTGTGAATATGTTCAGTGACTTTTTTGATATAGTCAGATTTATCCCAAACTACGGTGGCGTTTCCTTTGTCAGCTTTTGCGACGACAATATTTTTATCCTGTTTTAGACTAATTAATGCTTCTCTTTCTGATTTTGTTAAGTTTGATTTTGCCTTCTTTTGATTTTTCAGGGTTAATGCACATTGTGCTCTAACCTCTTCTGCTGTTGTATTATCTGTTGAACCTAGTGCTACTTCCATGTTAAGAGTGACATCCTCTGGCTTTAATTTGTTAACTGTTACATTGAAATTTAGTCCTTTCTCAATTTCTTTTATCTAACTAGAGCTTAGTTCCCTTGATAATGAGAGGTTGGCCACCCAATTTTTTGTTCTGTCAATGATGAGGATGAAACGTTGGCGTCAATTTCATCATTTATTGTTTTCTTTTCTGCCACTTTTTTATTTCTGTGGTTTTTGACTTTCTTAATGCTGATTCTCTAGCTTTTTTGGATGTTTCGACAACAGTTACATTATCTTTGTCATTGATCATACATTTGAGTTTGTGTTTGAATTTTTCGATTTCATTTCGCATATTATTTAGTTTCCCAGTAATTCGATGTAGTTCTTCTCTTAGACATAATCTACTGACATGTTCAGCTACTGATGTTATTTTTCTTGAAGTAATTGGAGTACGTATGCGTAATGGAGTTAGGCTCTACCACAGTGCCCAAGGCTTCAGGCTTTATGGAATGACCGTGCTAGCCTCACACTCGACCTCCCCTCTTCACCGGGCTTACTACCAGCTAAGATAGGTATAGGAGTGAGTTGGCCGGGGATCGAGCTCCGGACCACACTTAGCTTGGCTGGCCAGTAGTATCCTACCAGTGAACCACCGAAGTAAAGCCTTATATCCACTGGACCACTTAGGTCCAATATGCAACTAGTTGACTTAATACTCACATGCCTAACAGCGATTTTAGTTATTCAGTGAATCTATTCCAAGATGAAACACTTTCCGTGAATAGTTAATATCTATCTTTCTCCATTTCCAACAGTTCTTTTCCATAGCTCATACTGGTACAAGAGAAGCAGAAATTCGGTTGACGGGAAGAGATGTTCCATGTACCACGGCGTTTCGAGCTGCAAATACTGTGTTTGGGTGTGCTGATGATATTATTCAGCTGTTCAGGAAAAAAGTTGGGGGAGCGGGATCGTAACTCGAAACCTCATGGCTGTATAAACCGATGAAAATCACACATCTCAAAGAAGTCTTCCGAATCTTTCACCATTATATAACACGAAATCCTTCCGGATAAGAAGTGAATCTCTTTTCCAGGTGAATCACAAAATGACATCAGGTTAGAGAAGCATTGAAAACCATGGAGTACTAGTAGACGACTGTTTCGTCCTAGTCTACGGTAGCACACCCCTCCCCACCATCGCCACTAGGATTCGAACCCACAACCTACCTACCTTCAGGTTACAAGGAGAGTGCCCAGGAATTCTAACTTCTAATATTAATATCTATTATTCCGTGGTTTTCAATAGTCCTCTCTAAATGAGATGTCATCATCATGATCTTATTTCAAACTAACAGTTGGAAACTATTGGTTTTGTTGTTGTTGGTGTTTTTTGAACAAAAATAAAATACAGAAACTTGGCGGGGGGAGGTCACAAAGAATATTTCCAACAGCCTGTTGCAGACCTTTATCAACCAACAACTGTCTTCGCTCTATACTGAAAATCAGATGGCCGGGCAGGAAAGAAACTATGGGAACAAACAAAACAAGAACCAATCGCCGCCCAACAAATATGCAGGAGAAAGTGGATTGAGATGGATTGGACACTCGCGTCTGAGGAGGCCGCTGGGTGACATCGCGCGCGTCAGGACATTGCTCGAGTGGAACGTCAGTGCAAGGGTGACATGGAGGAGATCGTGTGAAGAAGAGTTGAAAGAGTATGAACTAACATGGATGCAGGTGAAAAGTACAGCAGAAGGAAGACAGAAGCAAGTGGAGACATGCAGTTGAAGCCCTATGTTCCACTAGGAATCCAAGGGAACAATAATAATAATAGTAAAATAGACTAACATACCGTTGTCTCATCTTCGTGTAATACTTGATCATATTCACTCATGGCAACACAGAAGATAATTGCTGTGACATCTTCAAAACAATGAATCCATTTTTTACGCTCTGATCGTTGTCCACCGACATCGAATAGTCTACAATATACACACACACACGCACAAACACACACAGAGAAAAGAATTATAAATATAAACAATTTCGACAGAAATAAACAAAATTTAAAGGGGAAAGGAAAACAAAAAACAAACTCAATAGAAACCTTTTTAAACTTGGTCATCACATGAGTATAATCCAGTTTACAGAGAAGGATAAACCACTGAGAAGACAAATCAACTCAATAACAACAAGGTGAAGAAAAATACTTGAGAACACTTGAGTGACTTTTAAGTGGGCAGGTTTCTGTTTATTCCTTTACGTTCCCAGCGGAACAGACATTAGCTTCAAGTTAGAGACTTAAAGTTTCTGTAGCAGTGGTGTTTATTTTTACTGGATGAGGCTGCTAGCCGCCTCATGCCCAACCTTCCTTCTTTCCTATTCTTATTACTGGCTTAGTGAGGTAAAGGAGTGAGTGCGTCGGTGACCGGGGATCGAACTCTGGACCACATGAGGCGTGGTTGGCTAGAATTTTATTGCTGTACGACCGTCGCACAAGTGGGCGGCAGATTAACTAAACGCAAAAACAAAATACATGAACGCAATGTAACACTTTTCTATGGAAGTAAGACACACATATAAATATTAATTTAACTTTGTTAATAATGAAAACTTATGTGATATTAGACGTATATCATCTGAGAAATGCAGATCTTGTCACATAAACTCGAAGACTTACAGGCGAAAACTAACAAACTGGCTGAAGAAACAGGCAGGCAGGCAGGCAGCGAAGACAGGACTGACTTCAAGTGAACAGAGAGAAGATGGAGGTGATGAACATAACCAACCAACAGCAACAACAACAACAACAACCAGCACCAATCACCATCAACGAGAAAGGTTTAAAAACAGGTTACCTCCTTTATTTATCCGTCTAGGAAACACGGTTTCAACCACGGGAATTAGGAAGAGATGAAGATGTCTAGGCAGACCAAGCAGAATCAAAAAGGCAGGATACGTCTTTATCAACCTGAAAGTAGTTTGGAAATCTTCTGCACTCAACACAAGGAACAAGATTCACATTTTCAACGTCAATGTCAAGTTGGTCCTTCTATACGGGACAGAAACTTCCACTGCGTGTCAGACTTTCATCAATAGTTGACTTCTCTAGCTCCATACTGAAGATCAAATAGCCAGAAAAAATAAGCTACAAGAAACTGTGGGAAAAAGCCAACCAAGAACCGATTGCTCAACAAATATGTACGAAGAAATGGAGATGGATTGATCGGCCATATAGTGAGGAGATCGTCGAATGACATCGCCCCCAATCCAGGTCATCGCTCGAGTGAAATCCCAATGGGAAACAACGAGTAGGTCGTCACTTCGAGGGTGACATGGAGGAGATCGTGTGGTGAGGAAGAGATGACAGATTATCGGCAATCATGGTCCAATCCAGCTGAAGAGGACGGTAGGAGATAGGATGAAGTAGAGATGTGTTGTTGGAAGCCCTATGTTCCACTCAGAACTCAAGGGAATAATAATAACAGTAATAATAGTTAAAAGTGGATGCACAAGATAAGAAATACCTCAGCCATAAAAATCCTTCACTTCACTTCATCTTATTTGGGTTCCTCTAAACAACAATCGAGGCACTTTAACCTCGGGTACGATCAGCCATTTGAATGTCCTCGGGTATGCTAGTCACACGTTTGGTATGGACAACATACAAGATTGACTGTAACAACAGAAGACAAGGGCCGACAACAGATCGTTTTATTACAGAAATCAACACGTATTTATATATATTTTATGTACACTATTATAGCTTATTCAAGCTATTCTGATTGGCTGCTTCTGGCTTCTCGGAAAGTTAAGCCATATATTTGCGAATCATATTTGCCCACGTTTAAGTTTCCTGTGATTGGTTGTTGAAACAGCCTTGTTCATATTTTCTCACAGACAATATTAGTGACCTAGACATTGACGTAGATTAATGTCTACCAATTGGCTAGCAGCCTGCTCTCACCACAGACCACGTAAGTAGGCTATACTGGTTTGTTTCTTAAGGGATAGGTACTCCTGAGCTCTAGAATAATGCATCAGTCGTGAACTGCTGGGTGACCTCATGAACAAGATGTTGGGAGACAAAGTTCATGCATCAGAAATATTAGGTGCTCTTCTCTTAGCGACCGACGAATTTCACGATAAGCGATGCTTCCAAGACTGTTACTGTTGCTTGTCATCAGTAGATTATTGACGAACAGTCTTCCTTGTTTGACGCATAGAAATACACCGAGAAATGATGAGTCACTGGTGTTGGAATCAGTGTTAACCATTGACACAAGGAATGGTTAATCATGTTTATGGCTTTTTATTTATCCCTGTACCATTTAAATGAGTGAAATCACCTGTCTGACACACACAATGTTTAGAATTATGCAGTGAGAAACGCAATTCTAGTATCAATAACCCTTCTCAGGGGCGTATACAGTCAGCAGAAGTCTCCCATAATTTGGGAAATATCAGGAAATGATAGTGATAATAATTTGAAAACGATTTTTTTCTCTCATCGGGTCGTCATTAACGATGACGCTGAAGAAAACGTTTTTCATCTTGTCATATGCTCACTTGAAAAGTTGAGTAGTAATGTTAGCTCTTATAAAAAGGGTTGTCGTCTATAGAAGCAGTTTAATGTGCACTGTTAGCATGGAGGCTGCTGATAGTTAGAGTCTTATAGAGTAACACTCGGGTTTTCCCTCCCAACTCTAACTATCATCTCTCCATACAACAAGGTGATGAGTAAGCGCACAACAAAAAGTATTTAGTCAAAGAAATAGTATACACCATCACTCACTCACTCACTCGAGTTGTAGGTACATTAGACTGACGAGTCTCAAATAGGGCGAAATGCGCTCCCGGTAATTCACAGTTAACCAACAACACTGACCAAGCAACGAATGATTCACGAAGGGAAGGAAATAAATACACAATCACATAATGTGATGAGTACTTTGTCTATCAAACAGGTGAAATTTTCAAAGCACATTCCCTCATGGAACTGACTCAATGCGTTTCAACATAAAACTTTGCACAGAAGTGCAGCATGCCAGTTCCAGTCGCCACATTCCATGTAGCACACACAAAGGTAGAACAAGAGAGAGAGAAAAAGATATTCAAAAGAAGGATAGTAAGCAGAAATGCGAGGGAGAAAGGAAGAATAGTACCATAGAAAGAGTGAATGTATCTGCATCATAGAAAACAATTTTGAGGTGGTGTACACCATCAATAGTCTCCAGCCATTGGTTACTAGAATCCTTGAAGTCCGCAACCGGGTCGTCCACACAAAAACCCTACGTGATTGGCTCAAAGTAACTGGTAAAGATTTCATGGAGTGATTCCATGTTTTAGTTTTACGACATCTAATGCTTTTCCAACCAAATTTTATGTCAGTTATTATTACTCGTCGAGGAAGACAGTGGCTTGGAATGCGCAACACGTGTACTAACCATTTCATTCGGTTCACCTTTACAACCCCATTGGACCAACTTACCCTCTTTACGTAACACCCTACGTCTAAGCTCACTACTACTCACTATGTTATCATACTTAATACAGAAGATAGAAAGCGAACATCTGTGGTCAAAGACGGGAACCCTTTTCATATATCACAGTTCTGAGAAGGAGGACAGAGAAAACTGCTGAGCTGTATACAAATCCTTTGATCGATAGTCGGATATCACGTCTACTCCAGAGATGACGTAAGTCGGGTTGGGAAGTGTCATACCAGTCTTTTGTATCTGTGGTGAGATTTCGTCAGGAATTTTTCCACTGGAGCTGATACAACTTCCTAGAATAGGTGATGTCAGTCATCAAAACACCCTACCACACTTTACACTCCCTGTCTTTAAACCACGAGTCTGTGTAGTCCAGTGCAGAAGCATCATCTTACATATTACAGCAGGGAATCACACACCAAACATTCGAAGATATTTACTCAGCTTGGAAACAAAAAGGAAAGCGGAAATTAGAATCCTTCAAACTAACAATAATTTATCAGCATCCAAAATCTTTCCTTCAAAATAGCTCCACAAAAAAGAGATTGGTTGGAGAATTTCATCATGAGCAGAGAACCACTCACTTAGAGAACAATTGGAAAACCAACAGGTGGATTACTGAAGAGTTGCTTCGCTAGACTAGTTTGGGACTCTTCGGCAGTTCGCATCCACCGCCATGGTCCGAACTAAGGGACTTCTGATTACAGGGCAAGCTCGTAGACCAATTAAGCCACTGGGACCCGATCCAATAGCCAATGCCAATTCATGACATAGCGCGGCTACTTCACAGCATCTTCCTCTTCGATGAGTCACTGCCTCACCTTCATCCTACTGCTGTACCCTACTGGTCACGGCTTTCCACTAGAACCCCAGACTAACTGACTGAATAGGGCCAGTGGCTTAATGGTCTGTGATGTCCAGGGTTCGAACCCCGGGTGGGTGCATACGGATGAAGAGTCCCAAACAAGGCTGACGAAACAGTCGGCTGTCCAGTACTCTACCTGTTGGCTTTCCAATGGTTCTTTTAACTGATGTCAGCTCATGATGAAATCCTCCAACCAATCAAACAAAACAAACAAAATCCCTACAAACCCATTACCTGAAAAAAGTAGATTGTATTTCTTCTCATGCCCTTTTAGTAAAAACAAGAACAATTAGTATATCTGTGGAATACGCAATGAAGTCATTGTTACCCTTGTTTTGTTGTGTGTAAATAGATAGATAGAAGGCGTTTTCGTGATTAATGTAATTATATATATATATATATATATATATATATATATATATATATATATAGTTAGCGTTGAGGAAAACACGAAAGGATGATGAACTCTCAAATGTTAACAAGTTCAAATATGAAAGATATCTTTAATTATGATAAATTCTCGAAATGGGAAATCTAGGAAGAAGCCAGTTAGACTACCACCATCAATGAAAACAAATTTAAGATAAGTTGAATAGAGTGTGAATTGGAAAGAGTTAGAATCGATTGAAATAGATTAAGGTTAAATCAGTGTAAAGGGTCAGACAACAACAACGTAATATAATAATGAGGCAATAAAAACAACAAAAATATATTAGGAATTCACTATGTGAAAACAAATTAAACGGTTATACAACAACAGCAACAAGAAGAACAGCGAAAATCAGTGCTTAGAGGAATAAGTTTCGAAGGTTTTCAAGTATTGATTTGTAGGGATTTGATTGCTTGTAGGATTTCATCATGAGCTGACATTAGTTAGAGAACCATTGGAAAACCAGCAGGGAGTACTGGACAACTGTTTCGTCAGCCTAGTTTGGGACTTTTCAGCAGTGCGCACCCACCAGGGTTCGAACCCGGGACCTTCTAAGTAATGTTGGCTCATAATGAAACCCTGTAACCAATCAACCAAATCCCTACAAACCAATACTTAAATATCAATGAGATGCTCACTACCGACTTGCTGTATTCAGGTAGGTAGTTACCTGAGATTCTAGTGAGAAGTCGTGACCAGTAGGGTGCAGCAGGTCGGGTGTGAGGACAAATACTCGTCGAAGACATTGGCTAGAGGTTGCGCTATATCGTGAATTAGCCATTGGATCGGGTCCCAGTGGTTTAATGGTATACGAGCTCGCTAGGCTTGTAACCAAAAGGTCTTGGGTTCGAACCCCGGTGGGGTGAGAGATGCTGAAGAGTCCAAAACTAGGACGAAACAGCTGTCCAGTACTCCCAGGTTTTCTAATGGTTCTCTAACTGATGTCAGCTCATGATGAAATCCTGCAACGAAAAAAACGGTTTTTCTTTTTTGATATTGGGGATTTGCTTTAATTCTAATGAGAACACGATCATGATTTGAATAATTTTGTAGGCGGAAACTAACAATTTAGCAAAAGAGATCGACTGGTAGTGAAAATAGGACTTCAGGTGAACATAGAGGAGACGGAGGTGATGAAGACAACCAACCAGCAAGATACAACCACAAGCACCAATGATTATCAACGGAAGAAATTTGAATCGGGTCACTTCTTTCACTTACCTATCCAGGCGATTGTCATTTCAACTACAGGTAGGTGGCACGGATGAGGATGTCAACAGCAGAATCTGAAGGGTGAGACAGAAACCTGTCACTCAACCAGCATACAGAACGAAATTCGAATTTTCAACACCTATGTTAGATCAGTCAATTCTTCTATATGGGTCAGAAACTTGACAAGGGTGTCAAGGAAAGCATTTCCAACAGGCTTCTGCGGACTTTTACCAACAGTAGTCTTCTCTGGGTCCACATTGAAGATCAGACGGCTGGTCGGAAGGAATTAGGAATCGAGAACCTACTGCTTAACAAACATTCCGTAGAAAATGGGAATGAATTGGGAACACGCTGAGAAGACCATGGAATGACATCTTATGCCAGACATAACCTTGAGTGGAAACTAAACGGGAAAAGATGAGCTGGGGGTCACTTCAACTATATATATCGACTATATCCACTACAGTCCTACAGGAGGTCAATCGCGAGCCCGAATAACTCAGTGATAACGTCTCTGACTGCAGCACTGGGTGACGCGGGTTCGAATCTCAGAAGGGACATGAGTTCCTTCACGGTTGTAGATAGGCCTTGCTGACGAGTGCCAACTAGCACGAAAGCTAGGTCAGGTAGGGCTTCCTTCCGACTGCCTCCAACCATCTAATACCATCAAATCAATGTGCACCGTGATGTCGAGCTACCTAGATTGGTGGCTACATTACAACCTGACTGATAGAATTCAGTCTACACCAATCAGAGGACTAGACACATCACACTAGTTACTAGTGTCAAATCAAAATATTCACTACAGTCCTACAGGAGGTCAATCGCGAGCCCGAATAGCTCAGTGGTAACGTCTCTGACTGCAACACTGGGTGACGCGGGTTCGAATCTCAGATGACATGATGAAGATAGTATGAGGAGAAGATGAGAGCCTATAGGTCACTGTGTGGCCAGCTGAAGACTACCGAAGGGAACAGGACATAGTGGAGATGTGCTATTGAAGGCCTGTGTTCCACTCGGAATAATAATAATAATCCCAGTGTATTCAGAAAATCAAAGCAGTGAAACATTTCTGATATCTTTCTTTTGCTTTAATAAGTAATTTTGTTTTGATTTTCTAAATACTCTGGGACTAATTGTTCGGTGGTGGTAGTAGTAGTTACTAATGGAATCCAGTGTGTGTGTGTTGTGTGGTTTTATTTCAGGCTCATCCTCAAGGATGCTAAAAATCAATGTCTGGGAGACTATTGAAGGTTTGTATACCTCAACATCGTTTCTAGCGATGGAGAGGTATTCACTTTTTGTGACCTCTCAGATCCATTAAACCCTCATGTTTACCCCCCTCCCCTCTCCCTACTCACATTTCTGCTCATTATGGTTCTTTTGGCTTACACTTTTTCCCTTACCTTTGTGTTTTATTTGAAGTGTGGTAAATTGAAGTTCTGCACTTCTGGGCAAAGCTGTCTGCTGAAATTCATACAGTCAGTCAGTCAGTCAGTCTATAATCAACTCCCCCTAACCATTTTGTCAACAGGTAATCATCATTCAACATGATACACTGCACTGTACTTTAACTTGAATTGTTTTTTTGTTCAGTGTCTGTATTTTTTTTTTCAATTGTAGACAATTTGTACACATAAATAGGTAATATTGTGGTATGTACTACTCATAAGATTTATCAGTAGTATATATATATATATATAAAAAGAGATGTTCATCGGCATAAAAGCACCAAATAGCAGGGAGGTAGATCTGACGTCAAAGTGAGCAAATGAACCAGTATAGCTGCAAGCCATAAGAGACACGTGAAAGAAGACAAAGAAAAACAAAATACGGCGGAAGGACAGAAGTAGCATACAACATGGTAAATCTGAGCAAATGACGACTTTCAGATAAGGTGTAGATAATTCTGCTTTTTGGCGATACCAATTTCCAAATAAACACTCCATTACCAAGTTTCTTGTCTTCTAACATTACGATATGAGTTCTAACTTTCTAAAAGTAAAAATTCTGTCATATATCCTGGCACCGTTAGTGTGAGCTGGAGGCCTGATGGCCGTCATCAGTGCGTAGCTACATATACACTGTATCTGATACTGAGCTGTACATGAAGAGTTTCAGCAGCCACATGTGGATATATGCGGGAGTATTTTATCGATGGGTTACCAGTTGATCAATTGGTTCCAAGATAATTAAGTTTCCACTTGTCATTGGTAAAAACACAGTTAAAATTTATGAAACGATACAACCTCAATGAAGAGTTCCTCACTCTCAGTATAGAAATGCTAGTAAAGAGAAAAGACAGTACTGAAACTTTCTAGAAGAGAAAAAGTTTCAAGTTGGATCACAAACTGTTTCGTCCTAATCTGATACTCTTCAACAGTAAGCCCCCATGATCTCACCGGCTGTTACATAAGTCCAGCCTGTTGGCTATCCACTCAGACACTGGAGTGGAATTCAATGGCTCAAGAATTTTAACCTTCGCCAATTTACACACACACACACGCAAACAATACTTGAGAATAAAAGTTGTTTACGAAAGACAAGACTTCAATATTTTTTAAGAAAATAATTCATATATACGTACTTGAAATTCATATTTTTAAACTGGAAATGAACTTCAACAATACCAGTTGTCTTCACTCGAGTTCTAAGAATATCTTGTTCTGTTGGCATGTAGTCTTTAGCGCCTAAACGATCCAAATCGTCAAGGAAACTGAGGGAGAAAAAGGTGAAAAAACAGAAACAAAAAATGAGAAAATAGCATGTATATATCAACTATGAATATTGAATATGTCGTGGTTATGTAACAATAGAAGAACACGAGAATTTGGTAACGGGGTACAGATATAGGCGAAATACGTCTACCATACTACACAAGAATCACAATTTGCACATATCTTCGATATCTTCGTACTTCTTTGTCTTCTACTCGTGTTTTTTTAGTTGTTTCGCAAGCATCATTCACTAAATCCATCCCTCCGTTATCCGATTTTGTTGCAGATGTTATACATTTTTATATCTGCATCTGTATACTACTTATAAATCTTTTCAGTAGCATACGACGCAGTTATACGTGCCTAATTCAAAGATTACGGTGATACATTTATTGTGAAAGGTTATTTCCAAGATTTCTTCTTTTTTCTGTTTATTGTAATCCAGTACAACATTTCATGAAGTGTAGATCTTTCTTCAACCCCTTTAGTTTACCTCACAATTACTTACACTCTACGCTTAGGATATAAGTATATTGGTAAGAGATACATATACGATGTGTACAAGTCGTGAGAAAGAGTTTTGATATAAATTTACCTAAAGAATAGTCAGAACTATTATTATATATCAATACAGTTATGGTGGAAATATGATGTTCATTTACATTCTCGTATATAAAAAAAAATCCATACAATACACTCTATTTAGCCACTGTGCCATAAGTTTTTCAACCACATATCACCTACTGAGGTTATGCCTGGAGATGTGACTCACTGGCTTCAGCATTTGCCTACCACACTTAAAATGGCTCAGGATTCAAGTCCTGCTCTAACTACGCTTGTCTCCCATAAACAATCTGGTACAGCTGAGGGTTGAGTAGACTTCGGTCTGCCACTCAAAATACTCTCATGTGGCCATGCGTCCATAACCTATGTCACCAGGTAAGACCTATTCACCGCTTCACAGCAACGGGGGTATTCCTCAAAAAAGTAAGAGTGGGAATGTGAACATCCAGTGCCTACAATCGGACTGGTGGACACACTGGTCTACCTACCTAGGGGAGCTGGAAAAATCCTGATTCTGAGAAGTGAATGCAACTACGTCCTTGAGTACAATCTTGAAACATATGTCATCAACTTTCTGAAGGACCACAACCCAAACAAGCAGTCTCTACATCACCTACATGACTCAAAGACTTCATAAATTGATGTCATCTTTTCGTTTGATCACATCTAACACTTTTCCAATCCAATGTGCTTGGAATGGCAGTCAGCTCTCTATCTCAACTTCATCAAATTTGAAAAGGCCTTCAGCAGGCAACGATGATCGAGATGTGATTTGACAACTACTTTACTACTACCAAGGGGTGCCACCAACAATTATACATCTCATCTAACAGTTGTACGACAATCCTGCATGCCAAGTAATCCACAACGGGAAACTTATGGAATCCTTCGAAGTAAAGACGGGAGTAAGACAAGGCTGGCTGGCTGCCTACTATCTCCAATGATTTTCCCGATTCCGGTAGACTGGATAATTCAACAGACAGCGGGCAGCGAGGAAACAGACATAAGATGGATCCACACAAAAAACTTGGAAGATCTGGACTTCGCCGATGTGATATATGTCTGATTTCCCGCAAACTGGAAGATATGCAAGTGAAAAGCAACAACAACAAGAAGCATCAAAGACAGGACTTCAGGTGAACATAGAGAAAACAGAGGTGATGAAGATTCATGGCCAACAGCAACAGCAACAACAACAGACAACAATCACTATAAATGGGATGAATCTGAAAGAAGCAACCTCATTCACCAACCTACCTATCTGTGAAGCATCGTTTCAACTACAGACGGAACTGACGAGGGTATCAAAGCAAAGATCGGGAAAGCAAGGCAAGCATGGAGGTCAACAGCACTCAGCATGAAAATGAAAATAAGATCCGGCTTTCAACTCCAATGTGAAGTAAGTGCCACTATATTGATCAGAGATTTGGCACCGCATCACGAAGGGTACTTTGAACAAACTACAGAGCTTTATCAACAGCTGTCTTCACTCAAGATCAGATGGCCAGAAAAGATCAGCAACAGGGATCTCTGGCAATGAGCAAACCAACCCAGCAGGAACCGGTTGTGCAACATATAAGCAGGGAGAAATTGAGATGGATTAGCCATACTCTGAGAAAACCATCAGGTGACATCACTAGACAAGCCCTCCATTGGAACCCGAAAGGGAAGCGGCGAGTTGGTCGTCAGTGTGAGGGTGACTTGGAGTAGGTCATGTGAAGAGGAGATGAAAGCATGTGAGCAAACTTGGAGCCAGGTGAAAACTTTAACAGAGAACCGGAAGCAATGGAAATGTGCAGCTGAAGCCCTATATTCCTCTAGGAACTAAAGGAAATAATAATAGTGCTGTCAGCAGCTAGCATTGCTCGTCGAGGAAGGTGATGGCTCACCTCAGCATATGTAATACATGTCCTAACCATCTCCATCTATGCAGCTTCCCAACTACGTAGACTGACTAAGGGTGGTGGTGGTAGCCCAAATAATCTGGTACTCAGACCTGTGAATTCAGTGGTCAGTAACGCAAGGTTGTATCTCAAAGGCAGTGCATAGAAAACGAAAGTGTTATTCACAGTTTAAAAATGTTAAAACATAAAATGAAAGCTTTTTTATCTGCTACGATTGATCTTATCACTGCCAAAAATCTGTTCAAGCCAAACCAATAACAACAGACACAGTTTCTGAGTAAGTATACCATGGGAAACGATTTCAATGGTTGTCAGGAGACACAAATAAATATCATTCATGGAGAATTCAAATAAGTTTATTTTTAATACTAAAATCCCGCACTGAAGATGTTGTCTAGAAGTGGGACAACAAAAGCTTCGTAATTAAATCAACCAGCTGCTCACCCAGAGAACACAACTCAATCAAAACCATCCATCTAAGTCATAAATCTTCTCCGAAACTCAGACAGTATTGCGCAACAGACAAGTTCACTCACACAATGTGGTGTTCTGATTAAAAGCGTTCCATTATTTCACATAGGAGGAAGAGAAAATTCAAGCATGTATATAAAGAGACTGCCAATTTTAAAAAGACGTTAAACTTACTATTTAGCTGAATCGTTCAACTGATATTCATTCGAACGTGCAAAGCATTCTTGTACACCAGAGTCAGCCCATAATCGTTTCATTGCATCTAACAGCTCCTCTGAAAATGGTTTCGTATCCTCCATAGCTTGGATAACATCGCATACAATACGCGCATCCTCTGCCTGTAACAAAACAAATAAATAAATAAACAAAAAGCAGAATGGAAATCAGTTTCACCTAAGTAAAATTAGATTTTTTACGAATGATGAGATGAATTTATTTTAACGATGACTACACTGTAACCGAAAAATTGTTTGGAAAATTCCTCCTCTCCCCACCCCTTTAATCTCGAAATTTAATGCTCCTCTTTGTGGTTGCAGCACGATACATAGACATTGTGTTGTTTTACGACTGGACTGTCTTCGGAAAGTGTTGGTGTGTCCACTTGTGGACGGAGCTTTTGATCTCACCTTGTTGGAAATGTTCTACTTGATTCTAAGTACTTGTTTGGTATTTAGAAAATAACCTAGTCTGTGCATATCTGCCTTAAGGCACTGTTGAGAGGTATTTCTGAATTTTCTATGCTATTATTGTTGGATGAAACCACAGTTCCCAACAACCAATAATCGTCTTTTAGCTGTCTTTGGGGCGAGTTGTAACTCTACATGTGCCTGTTTGTGTCTAAAGGAAGTTTTTTCACCTATGTAGTAGGACGCAGACATTGGATCTCCTGTGTTCAGACCACAATGAATCAGTTTGACTGTAACAACGACTGCGGCTAGCGGTAATCAGTTGTTTAGCTGTCACCAAGAAACATCACCAAAGTAGAGTCCTTCATTTCTAATGAAAGCAGAAAACAGAAGTCGTGACCAGTAGGGTGCAACACGTCGGCTGTGAGGACAAATGCTCGCCGAAGACATTGACTAGCGGTTGTGCTATGTCGTGAATTGACAGAAATTAGAATTCATGGGCTGGCTATTGGATCGGGTCCCAGTGGTTTAATGGTTTACGAACTCGCTAGCCTTATAACCAGAAGGTCGTGGGTTCGAACCCTGTCAGTGAGTTCGTACTTCTGATGAGTCCCAAACTGGGACGAAACAGATGTTCAGTACTCCCTGGTGGTTTTCCGATTGTTCTCTAACCTATGTCAGCTCATAGTGAAGTCCTGTAAGTAATAATCTTCTGGATGGAAATCTGTGTTCAAAAGAAAAATAAACATTTAGAAAACAGATAATATATTTCTATTGATTGATTGATAATCACAAAATCAAGAAGCAGTGCATAGGTGGTTCAGCCGTAGAATACTCACTAACCAGGTCTCACATTGTCTGGGGTTCGATTCCCGGTCGGCGCACTCTCAACTGTCTGTCTGTCTGTCTGTTTTCGACATAGAACTTTGCACAAATGTGCGGAAGTTCAAGTCGCCACACTCCGTGTAGCACGCGAAGCAAGAGAAGAAAGTACAAGAAAAGCATAATAGAAACAGTGAGCAGAGGTGTGAGACAAAGGAGTAATAACGAAGAACAAAACAGTTTCATTGGAAATCATAAATCACAAGGAGTGGATGCATCTGCGCCACTGAGAAAGATTTTGAGCCATGTCACCAATTGTTTCCAACCATAGATTTTTACCGTCCCGAGGACCCCAGCCTGGAAGTCTACACCTTCCTATGTGGCTTAGACCAACTGTTGTGGATTTCATTGACTGGTGCCAAGTTTTTGTTTGACCGCCGCTAGCTTTTTTCCAGCCTGACCCTATATCCGCTAACATTGCTCGTCGAGGGAGGCGATGACTTGGCATACGTAACACATGTCCTAACCATCTCAGTCTTTGTAGCTTCACGACTTCGTCGATTGATTTCCCCTGTTTACCTAGAACTCTACGCCTAACCTCCATGTTGCTCACCTTATTATGCCACTTTACACGGGAAATAGAACGCAGGCACCTATGATCAAAGACAGCTAGTCTTTTCATGTCTTCCACTCTCAGTGGCCAGGTCTCACAACCATAAAGGAGGACGGAGCGGACTGATGAGCAGTACACCCGCCCTTTGGTCGATAGTCGAACATCTCGTCTACGCCAGAGTCGGCGTAAACTAACAAATGCGAAACGAGCCCCTTGTATTCGTGCTGAGATTTCGTCAGAGATCAGCCCGTTGGGGCTGATGGTACTTCCCAAATAAGTGAAGCGGTCAACGTGCTCTACCACTTCACTTCCTATTTTTAAACTAGGCGTCGATGTAGTCCAGTCCTGTAACATCATCTTGCATTTGGCGGGAGCGAATCGCATGCCAAACATTCGTAGATTGCGGCTCAAGGTGTTTAGAAGACTCTGCATTTCGTCAGCGTCTTCGCCTAGAAGGACTATATCGTCTGCATATTCCAAGTCAACGAGATTATTCCCGGTAGCAAGTCAATCCCTGAGTCGCTGAAGTCACCTAGGGTTAAGTCCATTAACACATCTATGATGAAGTTGAATAGAAAAGGAGATAATGGGCATCCTTGACGGACACCACTGGTCGTCATCAGTTCAGATGACAGCTCGCCGTAAGCCCTCACCTGGCTGTATGAGTACGAGTAGAGTGCCTTAATCAGTGCAATATATTTTCTTGGAATTCCCTTTACAGCCAAGCATCTCCAGAGAACTTCCCGATCGACAGAGTCGAATGCTGCCTTTAGGTCAAGAAATATAATGACTGTTGGACGCCGGTAGGAATGCCTATGTTCTAGAATCTGTCGGAGGGTGAAGATATGATCAATACACCCTCTTCCTGGTCTAAAGCCTGCCTGGCTCTCTCGTGTTTGTGCTTCCCGAGCACCACTCAGTCTACGCATGATTATTGAGCCTAAGACTTTAGATACTATATTAGTCAAGCTAATCCCTCTGTGATTATCACAGGAAGACTTGTCTCCCTTCTTGTATATGGGGATAATCAGTGACTTACACCAACCCGATGGGACTTCTTCTGATTCCCAGACGCTGCCTAGTACCTCAGTTAATCCGGACAGTAAGCTGTCTCCACCGTACTTAAATACCTCTGGAGTCATTCCATCAGGTCCCGCTGCTTTGCCTAGTTTCAGATTGGTGACAGCTTTAGTAACCTCAGTTAGTGACGGAGGACCTGTGTCTATATCCCATTCAGGGAGGTGTTGGATGCTCGGAAGGTTGAGCGTGGCTGTGGGCAAATTAAACTGCTCCTCATAATGCTCTTTCCAACGATCCAGTCGTCTATCCTGGGAGCTAATTATAGTGCCATTTTTTTCCGAGATTGTCTCACTAATGATTTGTCTTCTCCCACCCGTTTCCCTGATGAGTCCAAAGAGTTGCCTGGTGTTGCCTATCCTCGAAGCTTTCTCCATCTCTTTGGCTTTTGTCGCCCACCACTGTTCACGGTCCTTGCGGAGACTTTTCGTAAGTTTCCTCTTGTGCAGCTTTCGCTCCTCATTGAATTCGGAGCTCGCCGGAATAAGTCTTCTAGCATCTATCAGTTCGGATGAGGCGGTGGAGATCCAGTGGTTTTTACTCACCTTTGGGTTTACCTTATTCACAGCTTTTACAGCTGTATCTATGGCTGCCTGGATATTTTTCCAAGCTTCTTCAGGGTGAGCACAGCTGTCGAACACAGATATGTGTTTAGCTAGTTCTTCCTCAAATACGGATTTAGTTTCCTGATCGAGCTGGGGACGTGATGGTTTTACCGCCAGCTGTTTCCTACGTCCGTTCAGTCGTAAGCACACCCGAGCGCGGACCAGTGCATGGTCGGTATCTACGCACGTGTTCCAGAAGGAGCGACAATCTCCTACCGACCCACGCCAACGATAGCTTATTGCTATGTGGTCTATTTGTGTCCAGCGTTGGTTTGATGAAGGGGGTCTCCAAGTCAAACAGTGTCTCTCCTTGTGTTTGAAGTTAGTGCTTACAAGAAACAAATGATTATCAGAGCAGAACTGTAGGAGACGGTCACCGTTGTCGGTTCGCTGGCACGGAACTCCATAGGTGCCACCGACATCCTTCTCAGATTGACACAATTTCCCTACTTGAGCGTTAAAGTCACCAGCTAGAACGACTATGTCTGAGCGTTTAGCCTTTCGCACCAAACTAGACAGCTTTTGGTAGAACTCATCCTTCGTTTCATCTGAACTGCAGTCAGTGGGGGCGTAGGCGGAGATTACGAAAAGGCATCGGCGAGTAGTGCAGTCCTTCCTCCTTCTTACTGATCCGTTCAGGCGGACAGCACACATTCGGCTATCTACCGGGATCCAGTCAAGCAATGTCTTTTCTGCCCTAGTACTCAAAGCTATCCCTACGCCAGCTAATCCTCGTGAACTAGCTGTGGCATCTCCTGACACCCTCAAGGTGAATTTTGCAGATTCAACCTGTTGGCCAGGTGGGGTTAGGTGAATAACCACACTTGGGTCTTGTATGCGTGTTTCTGAAACACAGCATACATCAATGGCTCGTGATGCCAGGGTCTTGGCTAGTGATGCTTGTTGTCCTATTTGGCAAAGTGTCCTAACATTAAGAGCTCCTATATGAAATTGGTGGCGCGGCTTTAAGAGGCTGTCGGTGGTGGTTTTTTGGCTTCCATCGTTTTTAGTGGACGCAGAGTGGAGAGGAAGTGGAGAGCTATCAAGTCGAGGAGTTGCATCAGTGGAAGGAAGGCAAGATGATAGAGATGAAGATGAAGACAAAGATGAGTGAGTAATAGAGAGGTTTCGTGTGCATTTCGGATTGTGAGGGCGATTGTTACTTCCCGGCTGCCCACACCGTGGAAGTTGGTTGCGTGACCGCAGAGCCCAGGGGACAACTGCTTGAGGCCGGTCACACGCGGCCTGTTTTTGTTCGTTCTCTTTTGTTTGGTGTGTCTCAGTAGCAGATTTATCACTCCTGCCCTGTGACACGGCAGCAGGAAGCGCGGTCGTTGTTAATCCGGGCCACGGCCGATCCGGCATGAAATTTTGTAATTTTGTATTGGACATGATGTTGGATTGGGTAGCTGCTTTTTGTTTAACCGCTATCCAAACAACCTGCCTGGCATGGTAGAACCTCAAGAGACATAAGTCTCAGCCAGTATAGCTTGAATAGATCATTGCGGTGTTCAAGCCCGACCACCACGTCAAGGTAGCAGCTTTCGGTCGGCGCACTCTCAAACTCCGCTTAGCTGGTAGTATTAAGACCGGTA